ATATAAAAATAAAAGTGCCGCCCTTTATTATTTATAGTGCTGGGGGAACAAAATTCAAATTCCGTTTCCAACAATGAAAACTAGAGAAGTTATCATACAGAATCCTAAGCATTCTGGAAATGGATTTTGTTGTTGTTGTGTGTCACACTGAACTGGATCCAACAGAGCCAGGACGAGACTGTCCCTCTTTCTCCATCAGATCATCTGCTGGGTTCGAACCATGTGCCTTCAGGATTGCAGCACAGCTTCCTGCCACTAGGCCATCAGTGCTCCCTTCAGGGACTGTTTTTAAAGGATAATTTATCTCAGAGGAAATGTTAATACGTAACATTTTAAAAGCAAAGGATATAGCATTTACTTTATCATACTACTATGATGATAATTTTAAAATATACTGATTCCATAATTATATAAATTCAGACTCCCTGGCGGTGCAGTGATAACTAAAAGGTCAGCTGTTCAAATCCACTCTTCGACAGCAGTGAGTTGGGCTGGGTTTGGTACCTATCAAGCTTCATCCAAAAAAAAAAAAAAAAGAACCAAGCAAAATCTCTACCCTTTGCCACAATTTTAAGAAGGAAGCTGCAGTGTATATGCCCAGCTCTGGTGGCACTGTGGTTAAAGTATGCAGCTGTGAACTAACTGGAAGGTCAGAGCTCCGGGGTGAAGAGTCTGCCAGCTTTTGGAATGAATGACGGCCTCGCAAACCCGCAGTGCAGTTCTACTCTGCACTCCAGAGCTGCCGGGAGTGGGAACAGCACACAGGCAGACGGCTTGTCAGCTCCAGGGCCTCAGCCACGGGCACCCAGGACAGTGCCTGCAAGGCAGCTGGCTCTCAGGTATTTGCATAGAAACATACCAATTTTTTAATTGAGATTTTATTGTAAGTTTATAAAGAACTTGGATTTCTATTCATTCACTGTTGCACATTTTCCTCCCTGTCCCGTCTGCTCCCCCACCCCAGTTTGCTTTTTCCTTTGGAAAAAAAGTTCTTTCATTGTTATACAGTCCCCCCCCCACCCCAGACCACTTTACTATGCAGCTTACTCTGGACTCTTGTCATACCAATAATACCTAATCATGTATTTCTTTTATATAGTTCTCTCCCTTGTCTGTTTCAATGCCATGTACATTATTTATTCCCTTTTCTTAGTTTTCCCCCCGCTATCAGTCCTGTTTTATAACAGGAGCATTATACAGTATTTGTCTCTTTGTGACTGAGATACTTCCCTCAGCATAATGTCCTCCATGTTCACCCATTTTGTATATTTCATGAGTTCTTTGTTTTTCAATGCTGCGTAATATTTCACTGTGTGGAAATATACACACACACAGAGCTTCTTAATCCATTCGTTTATTGCTGCTTTGTTCACAACAGCAAAGAGTTGAAAACAATCCAAGTGCTCATAAACACACCAGTTTTTAACACTGACTCGCTGTAAGGCAGGAATATGAGCATATACAACCTCTTCCTTTCTTCTGTACACCTTTGACTTTTGTGAATGACTTCTCTAAAATTTTATTGTCTTTTGAGAAAGCTGAATGGACATTATTAAAGCATTTATAATTCTTTGTTTAGCAATCACTCTTTTTTTAAAAAAAAAATGTATTTTATTTTATTATTTTGTGTGCGTGTACCATCAAATCGAATCTGACTCGTACAGGAAGAGACTGTCATTCCTTTTCCAGCAGAGCATTTGTTGGATCTGAACTGCGTGCCTCTGGGATTGCTGTGCAGCTTCTTGCCACTAGGCCACCAGAGCTCCCTAGCAATCACTCTTTTTCTTTTTTTTTGTTGCAGCTTGATACTTCTTTATTCTGGTAATGGTGCTTTTTTTCGCAATCACTCTTAATGTCAAAATCTTAACACACACACAGGCTGTCTCTAACTTAAACAGAAAAGTCTGTGGTGATGTGATTTGAGATTTTTTCATTTTCTTCTGCATGCTAGTCTGTATTTTCCACATACTGTATCATGTGAACTTTGAAATAACTACTGAATTACTCACTGTGGGGGGTTTATAGGTAGGCGTACTACCTGCTTCTTTATACTCTTATGAACATTCCTGTTGTTCTATGAGAAAATCCTACTTCTCAATATGGAGAAAAACCCTGTAAGGAATGGTTGGTCAGTAGAGCCTAACAAAACTACTAAATCAAGGAAAAAGAGAACTTTAAAAGACCACTCGTTTTGTGGCCTTTCCCCCTTATCTCCCTTCAAGGAGGAAGGTCCATCCCTTTGGGGATGTAACTTTCTAATAAATCTAGCACTATTGTTTACCCAAGGGGTAAACATTTAAAAAAAAGAAGACCAGTAGTTTCATAGACTACTGATAATTCAAGAGAACTCCGTGTCGTCAAGAGGAAAAGAACAAACTCTGTTATCATCCAAAGCAAACCCTGCTGCCAAGTGCATTCCAACTTCAAAAAAGCCTGCAGGACAGGTTAGGGCTGCCCCACTAACCCATGCAGTAAACCCACAGGATTCCCACGGCAGACTGTCACAGCTTTCTCTCAAAGCTGGGCTCAAAGGGCCAACCTCTGAACAGCAGCCAACGATTCATCAGCGGCGCCACCAGGACTCCTTTACTGCGGGCTGCTTAAAACTGGAAGAAATGCAGACCAAAGCCGCACAAGCTTCACAAGTGACTGACAGGCTTGAGGTCAAAGTCCCTCAACCAGGGAAGGAGGAAGACGTGGATGCTAGTGAATGGGAAATTTTAGACTGGCTACGTCGGAAGCAGGACATCTCATTCAATCGCTTCACAAAGTATGCCCAAAGTGGTGCATTATTAAGTGGCACAGGAGACTGGAAGATTACCAGGAGATGGAAAACTAAAACTGATGTCAGGTGAAGGAAGAAAACTGGTGAGACTGACAAGGTGCTTTTCAAGATCTTCAGCTGGAGTGTGACAAGAGGCAGGAGTGTAACACACACTGTCCAACTGAAAGCGGGCACACTGTCATCAAAGGTCTGTGCTGGTTACTTCACCAACTGCTGACCAGCACAGCTTTCAGAGTCACATCTAGTTTAGAATTTTCCAATTCAACCAGGAACTGGCACAGTAACCTCCTAATGACATATAGCAAAATCACTAAGCTGTTCTTGGTTTTGTATGTATTTAAAACGTGGTAAAAAAATTTTTATTTTTCATATATTAAACTGTTAAGAGGGCATTCTGGGCTGCTTTGGAAGATAAGGTAGTAAATAAACACAGTGGTATCTACTTCACTAGACAGCACTTACCAACATATTCAGTAAGGCAGGAAACAAAATTTGTGAAAAGTTTATCTAAAAATCACTCCCTTCAGGCATTATCTTCACTATGCAGAAAGCCTTATCACAATGTCCCAGGACAGGGCTGGGCATGTTTACAGCTGGGACTTTTGCTATGATGCAACGTAGTATGTACACACTGCATTTGGCGCTGGGGGTGGGGGTCTCACGGCAACTTTCACAGTCCTGTGCCATTCTCACAATCACACCTGTGCCTCCAACCACTGCTGCAGCCACTCAGTCACTCCAGCTCTTTGAGGGCCTTCCTCTTTTTCACTGGCCCTCTACTTTTCCAAGTATGATGATGCCTTGCTCCAGGGACCAGGCCTTCCTGAAAACGTCTCAAGTATGTGAAGCCAAGCTTTCACATCCTCTCTTCTAATGAACATTCTGATCACATTTCTTCCAAGATGAACTTGCTAATTTTGGCACTGTGTATATATTTAATGTTTTTTGTCAATAACAACATTGAAAAACATCATTTTTCCTTATTCCTCATCTAACTTTCACATGTATATAAGGTGAGTGAAAATACCAAAGCATGGGTGAGGTGCACGTAGTCCTCAAAGTAACACTGCTCTTAGCACGTTAACATGGTCCTTGACAGCAGATGTGCCTATGCACCATTTCACTCTTTTTTTTTAAGCAAAGTAAGTGATAATGTTTTTTTAAGGCAGTAAGACAGAGCCACAGCTCGTGAAAAGGCCACGCAAAACAGCATAAGTGACAAAGAAAAGACGAGAGAATGGGGGGACGCACCTCTTGGAAAGACAGGTGAAACCAGACCTTCCAGCATGACGCCAGAACAAAAGGAGAGCAACAGAGCACCTCATTTGATGCTTACCTGCTCCTTCCACGGGCACTGATTAAAGACACAAGTAAAATCAAATCCTACGCAACTGCAATCTTTTTTCTATATATTATGATGCTGTTTATTGGTCCAGTTGTAAGGAATATAGATTTCTTTTTTTTAAATTTTATTTTATTATTTTTGTGTGAGTGAGTGTACCGTCAAATCAGATCTGACTGGTACAGGAGGAGACTGCCCCTCCTTCCCCGGCAGAGCATCTGGTGGATCCGAACCGTGCGCCTCTGGGATTGTAGTTGCAGCTCCTTGCCACTAGGTCACCAGAGCTCCCCTTGGAATATTGACTTCTTGATGTTGAGGAGTGATTCATATTGAAAACTGTAGCCTCAATCTTCATCAGTATAAACCTCAAGTCATCTTTGTTTTTTGCTGGCAAGTTGTGTCAGTCGCATGTCACAAGCTAAGGAGTCTAACTCCACTCCCGATGCCATGTTTTCTTTATATAGTCCAGCTCATCAGATTATTTGTTTACTATACAGACTGAGTTGGTAATGTGTCCCCTTATGGTCAAGAGAGAAGCTGTTTAAACAATATGTTGCTAAGCCCAAAGTTAACTGTTCGGGCCCACCAGCTATTCTAGATTAGAAAGGTCAGGCAGTTTGCTTCAGTAAAGACTAAAGCCTTGGAAACATTTATAGGATAGTTTACAATGTCCTATATGGTCATCATGAGTCATACCAGACAGGTGAGAATGGGTACGATCAAGCAATAGAGACATGGTTAAGGAAGATAATTACAGAATTTAAGAAAGAAATGAAAACATTTCCAATCTGGAGTGTACATTTAAACCCACCGGCAATATACTGACACACAATTTAATCTGCAAATTGCTAAACCAACTAAAGAAAAGTGATGGACCCAAACAAGGAACTGGAACCGGCAACACTACAGTCTCAATAAAACACAGGATACTTTTAACTGTTAGTCAATGTTTTAAATATCTCTCATTTTATCTTAACTAACTTGGCTTTACAATCTCCTAATTCAAAACTCTTAAAAAAATACTCTTTTTTTAATTGTGTGTGTGTGTGTGTGTGTGTGTGTGTGTGTGTGTACCATCAAATCAGATCTGACTGGTACAGGAAGAGATTGTCCCTCCTTTGCCGGCAGAGCATCTGGTGGATTCGAACCGTGAGCCTCTGGGATTGCAGTGCAGCTTTTTGCCACTAGGCCACCAGAGCTCCCCCAAAAAACACTTTTTTTAATAACGGAAGAGAATGACATCCATTTTGCCTGACTTATGAGAAATCTGAACTCAATGATGAAGAAAGTGACAGTAAGGTTGGAGGAAGACTCAACAACCTGCATTATAGAAAAACCACAACCTTATCTGCTCAAAGTGAGAACTTAAAACACATACTACAGAAGCAAACAGAAGACTACAGCCTTCAAAACAGATTGCATCTCAACACCAAGAAAACAAAAATCCTCACCACTGGACCAAAAGGCGACATCAGGATAGATGGAGAAATGATCAAAACTGTCAACAATTTCAAATTTTTTGAATACACAATCAACACTTCTGGTGCCAGTAGAAAAGAAATCAAAAGACCTGGTGCATTGGGAAAACGTGCTGTCAAAAGCCTCTCCAAAGTGCTGCACAGCAATGGTGTCCAATTTAAGACTAAGGTGCATCTGATTCAGGCCACAGTCTTTTCAATACTTGTTATGCACCTGAACGTTGGACAATCAATAAGAATGACAGAAGAATAACTGATGCCTTTGCACTGTGATTTTGAAGAGTAGTAACTATCCCATGGGCTGCCAAATATGTTCCTGAAGGCAAGGATGGTGAAACTTTCATCTCACATACTTCGGGCATGCTGTCAGGTGTGGACAGTCCTTGGAAAGGGATATCACGCTTGGAAAGGTCAGCGTAAGAGAGTAACACTTTCAACAAAATGAAACGACACAGTAATTTTAACAATGGGCTCAAGTAGATCAGAGATGGTTAAGATGGTACAGGATACAGCAGGGCTCAGCTCTGCTGTTCAAAGGGTCACAATAGCAGGAGCAGAAAAGAAGTTTAAGGTGGCACGGCGGTTAAAGCGCTCGACTGCGACTTAGAAAGTCCGTGGTTGGAACCCACCACCTGCGGGGAGGTGGGGGGAGTCTCCTCCTGCAGAGTTTTACAACATCGGAAACCCCACTGAGTAGTCCAATCATCCCAAAAATCTCTCTATGAGTCAGAATCAAACAGTTGCCAGTACAAGAAGTTTGCAACTACCTTGTTAGTAAAAGCAAAAAGACAAGCGGAGTTACAAAAGCCAAAAGTCTTAATCCAAACTGCTCAGCACCCAAGGTCTCCGAAATCCCTCTCTAGCAGTGTTCTGTTCGGTCGATTCACAAAGCCATGGAGCTCGGGGGGCTGGAGCGTGGTCCCAGCAGGAAGGAAACTCTAATTCCGCCAAAACAGCCAAGAAGAGGCACGAAAACAAAAGACCCAGCGGCGGAGACGCGCCGTTGCAGTTCCTCTCTAATTAATCCCCTTGCCTTCCCAAGGCCGCCCCCCGCACCGCGGTGCACGGCCCCGGGGCGGCCGAGCCGAACCTCCCAGCTGCCCCGCAAGCCCGGTCGGGAGGTGTGTGGAGGTGGACAAGCGCAGAAAGAGCGGCGCCGCGCTGCAGGTCCCCTCACCGTCATATTTGAGGTCCGAGCCCTCGGCAGGGAAGTCGATGGCAGGCGGCGCACTCACAGCTGCCGCCCCGTCGCTCTCCGCTTCGCACTCCTGGGACCCAGAGCTGTCCTCCAGCATCGCTGGCCGCGCGAGGGCCGCCTGCCGGGCCGCCCTCTCGCTCAGCGACGTCTCTACTCCCACCGATCGTCACCGAATCCAGAAGTCGATCTTCGCCTGCCGGAAGTCCCTCCCGAGTCGCTCCGGGCAGCCATCAGAGTCCAGCTTTCTAAGCGCTCCGCTCTTTACCCCGCTCCGGAAGGGCGGTGCAGGCGCCCTGAAGGGCTGTCCCTCCGGCTCCGCGTGCTGGGCTCTTCAGTTCCGCTGGATATCCGCAGTGAGGGGTGCGCCCGACCTTCATTCCCGCCCGGTCCTCGAGCCAAGAACCTGCCATCGGGGTTTAGAGATCGGATCCCACACAGGTCCAGAGCGCATAAGAACCAAGGGTCCTCAGAGCCAAACCCAACTAGTTCCTTTACGCAGATCCTAACGTGTGCTTTTCTGTTATTTGTATGTCTCCCGCTTCCAAAAATTCATCTGCAAAACCTATCTCCAAGAACGGACCTTTTTCAATCAACTTTTAAACTAGACTAACACAGAGCATTGTAACTGCATTCCAAAGGGAATCCAACCAGCAGTAATCCGCTGTTGTGAAGAACTTTAAAATGGTAAGTTTTCAGATGGCGATCTTGTTACGTGCCCTAGAGTCGACTCCGACTCACAGCGACCCTATGTACAACAGCTGTCAACACAGCTCTGTCTTGAGCCAATTTCACTGTCTCCGACACATCTACCCCACTGGGTCAACCCATCGCATCTGTTCCTCTTCTCCACTATCTCTCTACCCTTTCAAGCATGAAGTCCCTCCCAAGGACTGGTCTTTCTGTGCAACATGCCCAAAGTACAACAAATAAAGCTTCAAAATCCTTCCCTCTAAGGAGCAGCCTGGTTTCACCGTCCCATGGTGTATGTTCGATACTCTTCTCCAGCGCCACAACACAAAAGCATTGATTGTTCTATCATCCTTAGTCATTGTCCAGCTCTCTGACACAGAGCAGGTAATTGAGAAGACCATGGCCTGGTTGTAGAAAGCCCTGTTGTTTTCCTTCTTTCTTTCAAATACGATTTTTTTTTTTTTATTTTTTACCTTTTTTTGGTTGTGATTAGTGCAGGAAAATGAAGTCTTGAAAATACCATGGACTGCCAAGAAAACAAATAGGTCTGTCTTGGAGAGGGTGAAACCAAGCCTCTCCTTGGAGGCTAGGATTTTGAAGCTCAGGCTCATGTGGCCAGGAAAGATCAGTCCTTGGAGAAGGACATCATGCTCGGAAGGGTGGATGGACTGCACAGGAGAGGAAGACCTCAGATGAGATGAATTGATACAATAGTTGGGACAATGGGGGTTGGTGTGTCAGAATTAGTGAGACTGTCTCAGAACAGGGAAGCACTCAGAGCTGTTGCACACAGGGTCCTTATCCATAGCAAGAGACTCAATGTCACATTAACAACATACTATGACAGGTTTGGAAGCAGGAGTGGCATACACTTCCTAAATAACATGCCTCCAGGAACTCTATGAACTTTAATAAATGTTGATAGCTGTACAGGGGCTTCAGGCCTTTTGTTCATAGGGTCGCTAGGAGTTGTGCTTGACTCCAAGTCAATCAACAACAACTGCCTTTCTCTGTTTCCATTTGACTATCCTCTTCCTTTTTGCTTTCTCAGCTTACTCTCCCTGGGAAAATGCTGTCCTTTTGACCTTCCGATAGTTGGTCTAAGGACTGAGTATCCTGGATGTTACTATTCACTTTATATGAATTTTTACTCTTGGGCTGAAAGTTGAGCCAGAGGGGTGTGTGACCAGCTCAAAGGGTGACTAAACGGTAACAATCTCAAAGGTTTTCTCAGTTTCTTTTTTTTTTTTCAATAAAGCAGAGTGAGAGAGTGTGACTGGTACAGGAGGCAATTGTTCCTCCGTCTTCAGCAGAGCATCTGGTGGATTTGAACCGTGCACCTCTGGGATTGCAGTGCAGTTTCCTGCCACTAGGCCACCAGAGCCCGCCGGTTTTCTCAGTTTCTATGAGAGCAGGTCTATGCATAATCCCAGGAGAAGGAAATCATGCTGGATAGGAAGCCGGTCAGGGGAAAAAAAAGACTCTGAAGGGGACTGACAGTAGCTGCAAATGGCGCTTGAGTACAGGACCGTGGGAACAGTTGCAGGAGCAACGCTTCCTTCTGTGACACCCAAGGTAGCCAGCCATAAGCTGGAAATGGCTTGCTGGCAGGAACCAGAGCAAACAGCACACGCCCAAAGATAGGTTGCATGTATAAGAGTGTTTACTACAACGTAGCCTGTAACAACAAACTTAAAAGGGATGTTGTTGTTGTTGTTATGTGCCCTCGAGTCGCTTGCGAGAACAATATGGATACTGCTACATAAAATTACAAATGCATGCAAGGAGGTATCATGGAAAGGTTAAAATGAGTCAAGGTGATCCACATACATCTTTAAGGCCACTGAAGGCAGGACCAAGTAGAAAGGGCAAATTGGAGAAGGCTAAACATAGTGGTAATAGCTAATGTTTTTCTTTTTTTTTTAATTTTGTGTCTGTGTACCGTCAAATCGGATCTGACTGGTACAGAAGGAGATTGCCCCTCCTTCTCCAGCAGAGCATCTGCTGGATTTGAACCATGTACCTCTGGGGTTGCAGTGCAGCCTTTTGCCACTAGGCCACCAGAGCTCCCGGGCTAATGTTTCTTAAGGACTGGTTTGGTATGCTGTTTTAAGTGTTTTTATACATATTAACTTATTGACCACAACAAATTTATCAGTAAGATGCTATCATTATCCTCTATTATAGATGAGAAGGTGGAAGCAGAGAAAACTTTTTCAATACCTTACCCAAGGTCACACAACTACTTGGTGGTGCAGCTAGGGCTTTTTTCCACTGTCTTTATTGCTAGCTATGTATCTGTATAAGATTTCACTGAGACATAACTTTTACACCATAAAATTAACTGTTTAAAACTGCCTAACTTAGTGTTGTCATTGCCGTTAGGAGCTGTAAAGTCGACTAAAACTCATAGCAATGCTATGAACAACATGGCTTGGTGGTAAGGAGCTGCGCTGCCAATTCAAAGACCCACAGTTTGAATACACCAGCAGCTGCTCAGGAGGAAGACGGGCACTCTCTTCCTGTGCGATTTAGTCTCTGAAAACCGGCTAGAGGGTCAGCTATGAGTGAGTTCTGACTTGACGAGACACACCACCACCACAATTTGGTGAGTTTCAATATATTCACAGGGTAGCAATCACGGCTATCTAACTTCCTAATATTTTTTTACCTCCAAAAGAATTTAAACCCTGGTGGTTGACTCTTAAGTTCAGTCTGATAGTGTACAAGATGATATCATTTATGTAGAATTTTTTCATGTAGAAAATTTTAAAGAGAGAATATAAGGTAAAGACGAAAGGTAAAACTGGTTGATTAATGTCATGAAATGATACACGGGAAGTAATTTTTGGCATATGTTTGGGTACATCATTTCTGGCACAGGTTTTCTTGAGGATATTCTAAAGAACAAGTTAGCAAATAAAAGGGGATTTTAGGATTTAATGAATAACTAAAAACTTTCATGCAAATTACAATAAAAAATAAATTTTTAAATAAACAATCACTCTTTTTTTAAAAAAAATCGTACCATTTATCTATCTATATAGGTCAGATTTTCCATGGAGCAGCTGGTGGATTTGAACTGTGTACCTTTGGGTTGAGCAGCGAATAGATTTAAACTGTGCGCCTTTGGGTTGACAGCACAACTCCTTTCCACTAAGCCACCAAAGGCCCATATTTAAATGCTCTGGTGGTTACTGTGTACCAAGTCAGAACCGACCCAAAGCTGACCTCCAGCGGGTTTTCATAGGTAGTTAATTGCACAGAAAGAGAATGCCCATCCTTCTCCCACAGAGCAGCTGGTGGCCTTGAACTGCGTGCTGTTGGGACTGCAGCCACCAGAGCTTACGTACATGCTTCTCTAGAGAACCTAGAGCCTAGACTGAGATTGTATATTTCTTCTTGAAGCAAAAGTTCTCTTCATCTGTGAATCTAAAAGATGTAGATTACAGGGGAGCTCTGGTGGCCTACTGGCAAGAAGCTGTACTGCAATCCCAGAGATATGAGGTTCGAATCCACCAGATGCTCTGCCGGAAAAGGAGGGGCCATCTCCTCCTGTACCTGTCGGATCTGATTTGATGGTACAGACACACACAAAATAATAAAATTTAAAAAAAAATGTGGATTACAAACTGTTTCCAAGGCATGAAACAGAAACCTCATTACAAATGGGAGAAATTGGAGGAAAAGAGGGATATCAGGTACCACACAAGTCCAAAACCCAGCAGAACAATTTTTATTTGCTCTCCAGTTTCTGGGGGCTTGAGTTTTTCTAAAAACACCCTGTTTTCTGAGGACAACAAAGCAACATCCCTGACGCCCAGAGGCTGTGTGGAGCCCCCAGAACGCTAGGCTTTAGCTCCACTTTTCAAGTGTTCTCAGATAGTATCTGTGTCCCCTCAGGAGTACAAACAGGTGACCCAATTCTCCTAACCAATATCAGGGTGAACTAGCCCTACAACTTGAGCCCAGTAAGCCCCATTCTTCTGCCCTTAAGCAAGGCAATCCTATCCCTCGGATTCAGGCGGCAGCCTCATCCTGATTAATACGCGTCTGAACATGGCCATGATCCTCAGTCTATTAACGATTTTATGTGTGTAAACGCTAACCTCTATGGTGTTAATATGGCAGGACAGGATGAACCTCTGGTGAAGGGCGGTCTCTTCAGTGGTGTGTCCTGCATGGTATTTGTTTGGACTCTGACCAAAAAAAAAAGTGAGAGAACTTTTGTCACATCTATACCTGGCAATCGATTTGGTTTGTGATCTCCACACATAAACCACAGGCCAGCCGTACTTGTTGACTTTGGACTCAGCAGCATCTAAAGTCTGTTACCTGAGACTCTGCTTCCCAACACCACCACCTGAAGTGCCTGTCCTGGAAGCTGGAAGCTTCCAAACCCAGCGG